CAGAATTGGAATGAAGTGGTAGGCTTTTCAGATTTGGACATAGTCCTATAGTGATGGTTTTTAGGGAAGGAAAAGACAAGGCGGTCTTATGGATGCTCTGAAGCTTTGGCATTCCATACAGATATAGGTTTACAAGAGAAGAGAATACATAAGAAGAATCCTCATTCTCATCTTCCTTTATCACTTCCTCCACTGATGAGCAGTAGATAATGACAAGTAGTTGAAGCTGTGGAGCATGCTTGAGCCATGTGACATGTGTTAAGGAATCGCAACCAGAGATAATCACGCTTTGAAGCATGCTTAGACGACAAGTGTCATCATAAATACCAGAATAATCTTTCAAACCAGATAATTCAAACAGACCCAATTGTTGGAGGTGATTCATTTTTGAAACGCATGCCAATAATAAAGGCATCTCAATGGTGTCCAAATCACGCAGGCGAAAAGCATATATACAATCTTGCAATTTGCCTGACTGAAGTAACTTGTTGAGGCCTTTTTCTGTTTCTATTGCAACCTTTATTTCCTCAATTTTTGGCAAAGATTCCACCTCCTCCAGGAATTCTCCCTCTGCTTCGCTATTTTCTCTAACTCCCCGCCGGCAAGCAACTCTCAACACTCTTAATTGTTGAAGACTTGATATCACTCCCAATAGAATACTTGCAATATCACCATCTCTCAAGAACAAATTGAGAACCTTCAAATTCTTCAAATTCTTCAAATACTTCAATTCCTTGGGACACTCAGATCCATCTATGTTTAACAAAGATATTCCAATAGAACCAACTCACCAATTTCTGCAAGTTCACGTATATCAGGACAACGTAATTCTAACACCTTTAATTTGCTCATGCATTTGAGGTTTTGCAAATGTTGTATACCACAACGCCTCAACAATAATGTTACTAAATTGGGATAAGTTACAGGTGATACATGTTGTGCTTCCCTGTTCATAATTGAAATCCTCTCAACAATTTTCCGTTTTCAACATTATCACGGGATGTTGTTATCGCATCTTCTTGTACAAGAACCCTTTTAATTCTTTTATTTTGGTCACAAGATAACCACAATGCCATCTCTCGAATCATATCATGCATCTTAAATGAACGACGCAAAACAACATCATCTTCAACACTCTCCAACAAGCAACAAAGCTTCAACTTTGCAATCACAGATTGACCATCATTGCGGATGTCTTGTATGCTTTTTGTCATATCTCTACAAATAAACCCCTCCCCTATCCATTTATCAATGATATCAGTGACCCGAATCTCATAGTCTTCTGGATATAATGCACAATACAAGAAACATTTCTATGAGTATCATCTGGCAACTGATCATAGCTCAACTTGAGGGTGGAAAAAACTTTTGTCTCCAAATCTGTAGTGGTCCATGGAGAACTTGTCAACTTATTTTTGAGGACTCCCATGCTTTAACATCTTTCACACCAGCCATGGCACTTCCTACCACAGTTAACGCAAGCGGCAGCCCTCTACACTCTGCTGCCATTTCTTTTGCTAAGACTTTGATCCTAGGGTGTGAGTTTAAAGTCTTCTCACCAACTTTCATATAAAATAACTCCAAAGCTTCTTTTCATTCAAAAAGTCCACTTTGAATGACTCTTGAGCTTGCATTTTTTCACACACATCCTCCACTCGTGTTGTGAACAACACTTTGCACTCAAAGTTTGAATCTTCTGGATGTGGCACCCCCACCAAATTCAAGTCCAATCCCTTCCACACATCATCCAGTAATAAAGCAAATTTTATCTGCTTCAACACACCCAAAATCTTTGAAGATTTTTCTTCTTGATTATTGCAAGAACTCCAAGTAGCATCTCCAATTCCTACTGATTTTCTTATATTGTCCATGATTGCATCCAAGTTAAGCTCTTTGGATACCACCACCCAAATCACAAGAAAATCGGGCTTTCTCTCCCCAAGTTCATTGCTAATTTTCTTCAGTAAGTTGGTCTTTCCAATCCCTCCAGTTCCCCATAAACCTATGACACCAACATTATTTGCTTCAATACTACTCCATACCTGATGAAATATCAAATCTTGCCCCACTGTCTTATCAACAGGTATTTGACCAATTCCTTTACATGGTGGCTTGTGAGTAATTTGATAATCCTTACCAAACCTCTGTCCCTGGGTTGTTAGATCAGCTACTTCAGTGAGCATCTTGGCAACCTTCTTTCCCACCTTGTAGCTTGACTTGCAATTCTTGGGACAACATTTACTTAGGCATTTGTTTTGGATTTCTTGGGCTCCTTGATCTAGATTATTATCTTCTACTTGAATACAAAATCATTTAGGTTGATATTTCTTTTCCCCTGTTTTTCTGAATCTTTACATGAACCAGTTAAGTACACTTTCATATCAAGTTTTGATATCGAGATAAGAAATTACATATCTTAATATAAATGAATGAATTTTTTTTGTCCAAATATGAATGACAGTTTTTTGACCGAAAAAGCTGAACGATATTGTTAAAGATTTTGGTTGGGGTTGCTTGGTTTCATTTTGGCAAAACAGCTTCTTTTCTTTTATAATTAAAAAAAACGAAAACAAATACATATTTGAAAATGGTTTTTGAACGATAATAAAATAAAATATGTTTTGTAAAAAAAAAAATCAGTTAATATTTTATTATTTTTCTGTTCAACAAAATGATAGTAGAGGTAGAAGAGATTGTATTTTTATTAGGGTTAAAATATATTTAATACCCTAAAATATTTTATAAAGTGTATTCAGTATACTAAATATCCTAAAATATTTTAGATCACAAAAAAAGTAGAGTAATGTCGCCTTTCAATTAACATTCTACTAATGTTGGTTTTCTCCTTCTAAGAAAAAGCTTCCACCTCATATGAGCAACAAAAGTACGCTTTCTCTCTCTCTGCGCTCCCTCCCTCCATATATTTATTTCTACGTACTTTTCTTTTAACTAAATAATTGGACAACTTGTAATATGGATACTGATAAATCAATTTTTTATATACGCAATATGCACGCTTTCAAATTAAGTTTTAATTATGCTAATATAAGGTAATTTTGTTTACTTAATTATGGTCTTAAGAAAGATATCATCTTTATTTTACATCATATACCCATTAAAATAATTATTTAAAAAATAAATAAAAATAAATTAAATCTATCATCTAAATTGTACCTAGATTGTCCAGATATAATGAGCTTGGGGTACTCACCACTTTGATGAGCACTGAAATTAGTTCCGTTTTTATACTGTGATAAAATTTCAAATAAATTCAATATAATATGAGTTTCACACTTATCCGAAAAATTTTAAATGTGCTTAATTAGATGGGTTTGAACTAACACATTTAAATAAAATTATCATAAATTACTAGGCTAAGGAATTACGTAATTAACAACATCATTGATAGCTGAATATGGAAATTATCTAATTCATGAACAAAAAAAATTAAAGCAAATAAAAACACCACATACTAAATAAAGAAAAAAAAAGAATAAATGTAAAATGAAGAGTTCGTACCTTCTGAATGTTGTGGATACGTTGGAGCCAAAGATCGACTTCATGTGTCTTTTTCCCCTCTTCAGTGCGCTCAGCTTTTTCAATTCGTTTTCCACATCCTTCTTTTTAGCTTCAAGCTCTTCCCATTTACTTTTCAGAGATTGCAGATTCTCTTCCAACTCACAAATAAACCCAGCTTCTTGTTTGGCGCAACCACACAAATACTTTGCAATATCCCATATGATATCTCCCACTTTCTCCATATTTGCTTCTCACTTTTGATCTTTCAGACGATGCTAAGCTCGCGTTCATCCAAAATCAAACAGAAAAATGCTAAAGTTAAAATTCTTTTCAATAAATATTTTTCCCTCAAAATGAAAGAACCCCACATGTTTGGGCTTACCTCATACACCAAGAGATTGCAATATTTATGAGTTTGCATGAGACAGTCGATGATGCAAATGGATAGGATTTGAAATGATGATGATAATCCTTTATTTCTTTAATTTTGAAAAGTAAATTGCAGCATCTTATTCCTTACTTGATCCTTATTTTTCTTCGAGATAGACAATGATTTATTCTTATTGCTGCTTTGATTTCTTTCTTTTGCTTTTGTCTTTTCTCACATGAATGAACAAGTCAGGAATAAAGATCACCGTTCTCGAGTTGGAGCAATGAATCTTTTTGTTTTGAAATGTGAAAAGTACGTTTTCTATGGTTTTAAGTTTTGATTAGTGCTTGATTCTTAATTTGAAGTTTTGCTGCTCAGATCAGGTCAAGAATCAGAATTTTTAATTTGCACGGAGACGGACCAATGATATAGAAGGCATTGTTTTTATTCTTTGCCAACGATATCGAAAGGCATTGTTAATTGTTACATATATATATGTATATATATAATATACTTCTAAGCTTTTCAGCTCTAAATATTGAGATAAATAATTAAGTTAAAGATATTCCCACTCTATTATTGGTAATGGATTGATAATCATTTGACTCAATTTAAGAGACGAGAATCATACTACTTCCAACTTTTAATATAAGACTTAGTTAACTAATTTGAAGAAATTAAAAAGGTTACTAAATTATTTTGAATTATTTGTAGTTATTATTTTTCTCAATTAATTTGCCTTACTTATAAATTGATATACAATATAATAACACAGATAAGAATTTTAAAGGGATCATATAACATATGCTATAATTAAGTAAAGTAGTAACTTTCTTAATTTCTCCAAATTAGTTAATTAAGTCTTATATTAAAAATCAGAGGTAGTAATATATTATTTTGGAAAGAATGACATTTAAATCTTGAAAGAATAAATTAATGACAATTGGATGCTTAAAAATTTTTTAAAAATATTGAGCCATTTGAAAATAGGATTCCCAATTGCAAATTAAAAGTTATATTTCAAACTTAAATGTCCTATCTGCACCAATTAAAATTCTTCAGTTAGAAATCTAACTCTGTCATTTCTAATTGAATATTTCTTTAGTACTCCTTTGATCTTTAATATATGACTTAATTTGAGAGTTACTATTGATCATATAAATAAGATCTATTTTACATGTTTACCAATTTTCTCAAGTTAACTCTATCAATACTCCCTCAACAATAATTAGGTAGGAGAGGAAGGAAGAGAATTAAAGAAAATGATTATGGTGTTTTGAAAAAAAAAATCATGTTAACTAATTTAACTAACATCCTTAATCTACTCAAATTAGTTAAATATGTCTTAAGGACTAGAAAAGTAGATAACTAGATGCATTTTCATATATAATCATGGTGACCAATGATAGCCACACTTTGAAGTATGGTTAGATGACAAGAATCTTCCAAACAGGACAATAAAGTAAGGATACTTTCGTCTTTTTAGACATAAAATTTTAGTCAAGGGGGTACAGTGATATTTCAAAGTTTTGAGAGGGGGGTTTGATTGATATTAATTGACTATTGAGGAGGTTTATTGAAATTCTCCCTGTATTATAAAACTGATGAACCAAGCAAACAGCGTGCATGCAAAATGTTGAGTGAGAGAGGGGTGAAAAATGGGCAAATCAATTAAGAGTTAGGAAATTTCATCTTTCATGCAACGGTCCACATCAAAGTATGCATAAATTATTGGAAACAGGAAACACGGCTGAATTACAAAAGCAAGAAATTAACTTAGAAACAAAAAAGAAGGGTGGGAAACAAAATTATCTTACTATGTATTATTAGAAAGACATGATACGGTTTGAAGAGCTTGAACAAATCTCAACGGAAACAGATTCTGGGAAAGAATCTTTATTTTTTGCTGTAAAAGGTTCGAGTTTCAATCCAAAAAGAATATCAATAATCAACATTTTTAGTACCAATATTACCACCTAGAATTTAAACGATCAATCATATCATTAGCTCAGTTTTCTACTTTCAAAATGGGACAAGCCTATCGAGGTGAGAATCCTCAGAAGAATGCTATATGTAAGATTACAAAATGTAAATTGTAAACTGACCCTATGCTATACTGGTATACCTTATACCACAATCAAGATGACCAAAGTCGGCATTCTACCAGGAAATGAGAACAATCGATCTCCACAATCTCAACATTGGCCTCCGTGACTGAAACCTGCATATTTAAATTCAATTAAACAAAAATGATAATGGAAACTGACAAAAAAAAATCATTTGAGTTCCACGTAGCCATCTAAAGACACGCAATGCATATATCAGCTCGATACACAAATGCAATGATGTAGTGTTGTCAAGGACTATATCCATATGTTCTATTTTTTTTGCCCTAAACGTAAGACTCATTTATATAAGATCTACTTTGTAAGTTAATTTCTTCATTAAAATGGATTTTATATTAAAGACTGAAGGTAATATATTAAATATTGACCAGCACATAGTAATATATTCCAGTGAGACAAAACAATACGATTACATATTATGATCCATTATTATTTTATTGAAGTTGGAGTCCTTTTTAGTTGATGAAAACATATTTAAGACTCTCCGTGTTAGGTAAGCAAGCAGTACCAGATCCTGGCTGAAATTTTTTCAATGAATACAAAGATGCATGATCAGGATATTCAAGTGGAATCCAATATAGTGTTTTATCTTATTCTTACCTCATATACATCCACTATAGCTGGAACCGATTGTCTTGATGAGACCTAGTGATGTGGAGTGAGCACTGTCAACAAAAGAGAAAACAAAGTTAAGACTGAAGAAGCAACGAATCCTTCCCTATTAAAATAGAAATAGGTATGCCTTTATGATAAATAAACATCGTTTAAAGGTCAATAATCTAATGAGTGGATTACAAGACGCTATAAAGGTAACAGTAGCAAGCAGTTAGGGAAGAAAATAAAGGCCTGTTCAGGAGAAATTTAATTTAACTAAATGATGACAGAATTATTATGGATGGATCCAGAGTTTCATGAATGTACAATATGATCAAGGCAGAGAAAAGCACTTGAGTGGACTATAAAAAGTTAGTCAAAGCCCGATTAAAAACTTTTTGAAGATATAATTTCTAACCACGGAAATATCTTGATTTAAACCTGATCTTAGAGAGCAGCTAGATCTACAAAAAAATATTTAGCATCAGTCAAATCCAGTTGGTTGATTACCCTCAAAAAGTTTTTGATTAAATGCAGTAATGCACATTTAGCAGCCAACTGTTCCTTATCCCAAGCCAAATAGTTGCAAAAATTTATGAAAAATCAAATCAGAGTTATTTATAGTTGAGTAGTGGTTCCCCACTCTTCATCAGCCCCGTTGCCATTGACGAGTACTGCACCATCTGAAGAATCAGCATCCACCACAACTGCCTCCTCTCCATTCTGTTCCTCCTACTTTTCCTCTGCGTTGAGCTCTTCTTCATTCTGTTCAATCAACTGCAACAAAATGGCAACTAATTACACAAAACAACACTCTAAGGCCAACTCTTAACATTTTTGGAAATCTACAGTTTTACACAACAAAAATAAAAAACAGAAAGAAACACCTCTTATCTGGTTCATGAATTTTATTTTATTTTTGTGAACTGATTCATGTGAGGTTATATCTTTAAATAGCATACCTCATGATTAGAATCTCCATTCTCACGAAGCTCTTCCCCTTCTTCAACCTGCATGCTTCTGAAAGCGTTGACAAGGGTAAGACATGACTTTCGAGCATGTTTGGCATACTCTGCAAGAGGGTAATCGCCCCTCATATACCAGGAAAAGAAAATACAAAGAAAGATTCAATGTAGTTCTTATTATTTTGAAATGCTTCGAATGAGAGGTAACACAAACAAAACATTGAAATTGAGCACTCTCACATTCTAACCTTGTCCCTACAGCTTTAGCTTCAACAGCAATCGCAACTTGCCAATCTTCAAACAAATTAGGAAACTCTTCAAGATCAGCCAATGACTCGGCAGCTTTGGGGCTAACGGCTAACCTGCGATGAAAGCATTGACATATATACCTATGAAATACATTAGTTATCTTTAATCAATGCTTCCGTTAAGATGACAAGCCTCCTTGTAAGGGTGCCTGAGAATAAATTCTACACACAATAACAAATGTCATCCAGGCAGTCTTAGTGCACTAAAAGTATGATACATTTGAAGTAGAATTACCCTATGGAGATCTTTTCTCCAAATTGCTAAAATCTCTGAGACCTTGCTTGGGAGATAAGACCGTGCCATTAAAGCAGCTTCAGGAATCCGATTGCTGCAAAGGCACAAGAGAGTTATGTAAAACCAAATTTTAGTCCAACCTATTTCTTACTTGTGTTACTGCTTTATGGAAGCAAAACGGCATAACTAAAGAAGATTACCTCTCTACCAACAGTTGAAGGCAGTCTTCAAGTTTACCCAACATGAACACGCAAAGGAATGCGACATTGTTCTTCCCTCGCTCTTTAGCACGGGTTGCAAGATTTGATATTCCCTCAGCATCTCCTAAAGAAGAATGTAGCAGTAACAATCCACTCAAGTCCATTGCATTCCCTGAACATTCTTCAGCCATTTCTAACTGCAAGACCATAAAATACAGTGAGTTGCGGTAAAACTGAAATTCCCAACAAGGATCATACATGTTAATTATACATTAGAATGAGATCTAAAACTAAAGCATCTGAACACAACTTGTCAATAGAAATTTCACCCAAACTACCTTCATTTGGTCCTAACTGCTTGCTCTGTAACTTCTTATAGCCTAGAAGGCTCAATAAGGTATACAGAGGCATCATAATGTTCAGAAGCACATTATAAAAAATGAA